CATCTGTTTCAGCTCAGCTGAGCAATTATAAGAATAATTTCTCTTCTTCAAAGCTTCTCTAACAGAATATCCTTGGAATTTGGTTCTTTAATAGTAACATAACTTGGAAAAATAAACCAGCCATATTATGGCATAACTTGGAGGCTAAAGAAGTTGAGAACGAACCACACCAACAAACTTTTGCAAAGGAAATCAATTTACTTATCACTTTGTACATCGAGATTGGACTTCCTTGGCCACTCATCAACAGGATGGAGATTCTCTCAATAGTTCTAATTTTCCTATGAAAAAGTTTGAATCCTCACTTAGGAATGGGGATTATGTGATATTGAGCACTGAACCTGGTGGTATACTTATAGCTACTGGAGTTGTTGTAGATATGAGTTGCTCTCGCATCTCGACCAGCAAGTTGGACGCTAAGTTTGCTAATGAATGGAGATCAATAGCTCGTTTGAAACTTCATAATGCGATAAAGCGTGAAATTTGCGATTCTAAGGGAGTACGGTGTAATTTTTTTCCAAGAATATCATATGAATTTTTCCCTACTCCAGGTATGTTAAGGCTAAGCTCTTCTTTCATTTTGTATGATCTTGTCATTACACGATTTTGTTAATGAGCCATAAAGAAAAATTCATATCCCGGAATTTATGTATATTTCACTAGTCCCGCAAGTTACAATATTCTCCTTATCGGGACTTCATATTCAATTGAGTATTGTCTTACTCCAGTCAAGAGAGCAGAGAGTCTATATATACAGTATTATAGTATTTTCATTACCATCGAGCTATAATCGATGGGCAGGCCCCTATTGGGCAACCTCTGATCAGATGGTAAGTTATATACCAAGCCTACTGTGGCCGAGCGCCTATGGGCGAGCCTACTACGGCAGAGTAGTTATATATATATATATATATATATATATATATATATATATATCGAGCCTTATAGGGCCGGACAGCTATTTTACTTACTATATTGAGAGAGTTGAGTCAGTATCAGCAGGTAAGCATACCTTCAGATTATCTTTGACTTCCAGTTACTTGCAGTTATTATATTATCAATTCAGTTTCAGCTTTCAATATATTGCCTTACATACTCGGTACATTTTTCGTACTGACGTCCCTTTGCCTGGGGACGCTGCGTTTCATGCACGCAGGTCCCGATAGACAGGTCGAGAGCCCTCTAAGTAGGCTATCAGCTCAGCGGAAGATGTTGGTGCGCTCCATTTGCTTCGGAGTTGCTTGTTTGGTTAGTATGATTTAGACATGTATTTGGTATGGCGGGACTCTGCCCCGACCTTTACGACATTTATTTACTCCTAGAGGCTTGTAGACATATGTCGTGTACGTGAAAGATTGTACGGCCTTGTCGGCCTACATTTTGAGTTTATAAATGATTATGTTGGCCTATTAGGCCCGTATGTCACGTGTATATGATGATGTAATAAGAAAGATACGTTATGTTGGTACTCGGTTGAGTAAGGTACTGGGTGCCCGTCGCGGCCCATCGGTTTGGGTCGTGACATGTATTCGCCGAAGTTTAGTTTCCATTGGTTCAAACGAATTATTATTTGGGCATTTTAAACAGAGTTAAGATCAGTTTACCAAAAGTTTGATGTGTAAAAATGTATAGTCCCTTAAGGCCTAAAGCGCCAAATCTAGTGCCACAGTGTTTTGACTATAAACCTTGTAACGTCAAAATTGAAGTCATATGGTTGGTCGATGAAAGAGCGAACTTTGAATGAATCTTCAATAGAGTAATTTAAAACGTTTGTATTTGACGAGAGTTTTTATTCTACCATTTCAAGATTCATGAGGGCGCATTGGGTGATAGTTGGGTGCTCTTTAACTCAGTGTATCAAGAAAGGTTATGAATTCATCCCATAACTCGATATGAAGTAACTAAATGTAAATGTACTGCTACTGTTTGTTATTGTATTTGAGTTGGACTATTCCAACAAGCTATTATTAGTTATTGTATTTGAGTTGGACTCTTCCAACAAGATTAAGTAGATATATGTAGGAATACTACTTGTACTTTGTATCACTATATAAAGATGAAACCATAAAGGGTGTGCTCTGGTTTCATATCATGGTATCAGAGCTATATCTTAATTTTCTATGAACAATCTTGGCCCTCTTCATTACTCTTTAGGTGTTCATATTACAATAACCTCTAAATGTCTCCATTTATCTCAAGCTAAATATGCTTGTGATCTTCTTTCTTGTGCATCTTTAGTTGATTGTAAACTAGTTCTATCTCCTACATCTAGTTCTCGACTATCTGGACATGAGTGTGATTTGTTTTCTAGATCCTTCGCATTATCGCAGTCTTGTAGGTGCCTTGTAGTATCTCACTATATTACTAGGCATGACTTCTCAATGCTATAAATACTGTATCTCATGAGTGCTCCTCGTACCATTCATTTTATTGTTGTTAAACATATCATTCGCTACCTTGCTGGTATGATAACCCCTGACCTTAACCTACATTCCTCATTTTTTACTGTAATGGCCTACAACCCATAAAGCGTGTGTGTATTAGTTTCATATCGGACATGGATTTAACCATGAGATTATTGTATAATTTCAACCTTTTCATTTTGGGACAACTACTCAAAAACAAGATTCATGAATTATGCATACACCACATTC